GCTGTTTTTACTACACTATTATTTACTCCACCCTCCTTTTCACGCCGAGTAGAATATTGGCGTCTGTCATCGGAAAATGTCTATTTGTGATTTGGAAAATCAGCTGAAACACATGATTCCAAAAACCCCTTAATCGTGAGCAGTGGATAAACATATGTTCGACAAAGTCTGCTACCCCACAGTATTCACACAGTTCTGAAGATTTTATACCCATCCTATTCAACAAGATATTTGTTGGGAATATATTGTGAAGTATTTTAAAATGTAGAAGGCGAAGACGAGATTCTTGCGTGGCCATGTGTGCTAGACTATACCTATCTGCTATGTCCACTCCAAGCTTTTTTAACCAAAAGTTCTTACCGCATACCTGAACCTGCTCCCACCCCAAGACAATTCGTCGTAACTCCTGATTGTTGCTACAAAGTACCGGAAGACTTTCAGCACTAATTCTTTCGCACCCAACTGCTGCACACTGACTGTGTTCCAGTGTGTTGTTCTGGTTCAGTAGCTCTGTCCATGGTTTTGGTAGGCCATTAATTAGAGCATAATAATGAAAGTCAAAGCCTGCATAATTTCCTATTGTGTGTTTAATTTCTTCTTTTGTTTTCACCCGTCCCCTGTCATAAACCTTGTTAATATTTTTCATTCCTCTTCTCATCCAATATTTCAGAAAAAGTGAATTACCTTTGTACCGTATCTTTTTGTTGTTGAAAAGAGGCTGCGTAAGAATGTCATTCACTTGTTTGATCTGCGTATCACCTAACTCTCTTTGTATTTCAAGCCATGCTGTCATGACCGCTATCCAAAATGTAGATGCATCAACTGGCTTGATCATATGTTTAGGGTTAATAGTTGCTTTTAAAAAGTACTTTAGACCACCAAGTTGATAAAAATGATGTCTGTAATTTGCAACTCGTCCTCAGCTAAACTTTTGCTTATTGCTAGACGCTTCATCCATTTCAAAAAGTGTTTTTTTGATCACGCACCCTGATCATACCTAACCCTCCCTCTTCTACAGACTTGCGAATGACTGTTCTTTTAATCTTCTCTTTAGCCTTTCGGTTCGAGAACTTTTTCTGCCATAAAAATTTGAAAAACATTGTTTCAATGTAGCTAGTGACCTCGTCAGGTAAAAACAGTGCTTGCATGATATACGAAATTTGCGACAACAAGAAAGTCTTACAGAGTACATGTTATTACCTTTCCATACAGTGAAGGGTTTCTCTTATGCCACATTTTCATGATATTTTTAATTTTTTCTATCTTTCCTTTCCAATTTAGATCAATTTTAGAAGCCTCCTCGACTGCACTAAAATAAATCCCAAGTATCTTCATTTTGCCACCAGTTGGCATCCAGGCAATATTCCCTGGAGTCTGATCATTATGTTTACTCCTACCTATCCACATATGCCCTTTGATTCAGCTTATTGAGTCTCAGGCCCGAAATCCTAGAGAAACGTTTATATTTTTCTTAACTGGATGTATTTCTCAACTTTTCCTGTAGACCTCCCGCAAAGCTACAAAACGATCTTTGTTGAGACCCAAATACCCCGCTGTACAAGAAGAATGGACGCTAACTGGGTATCACTGAAGCTGATTCTGGCAACAACTCTGTTCCTGTCCTCAAGTGCTTGTGTGCTGAATGTTACCACACCTGAAGTCGAAGTAGGAAAAACTGCCAACGTGTCACTGGAATGTTTCAATCCGTATCCTGCACGCGACATTTCTGACATTATCGTTATCAGAATTCTGAAATGGGATCATGATGAGTGGAACGGCGTGGCAGAACTACACCGCGGCGATGATGCGGAAGTCAAACAAAAATCCAAAGATGTATTTGCTGAGGGCAGAATGGGCTCTGTTTCTGAAAGCTTTTTGAGGCTTACGTGGCCCGTGGCGACCAATAACACGATCGGCCAATACCGCTGTGATTTCGTCAGCTTCACTTTCCAAGAGAGCGTCATGTGGCAAAAAAGCCAGCCCGTTTTCGTCAAACGTAAAAGGATTCTCACTGTACAGATGCTCAGCGATATTGTGGAGTTGAACAAAAAGGAAGGTTTTCAGCAACTGCGCTCTCAGAAACAAGATCTAATAGAAAACATAACGGAAACGGCGGAGGTTCTTGAAGCCGGTCTTGAGAGCCAGTTGAAGAACCAGCTACAGGTGAGAACCTTTCTCGAAGTATTTGTTCTCCAATTTTGTTATCTAAATAGATCTATATACTCCGATATAGCTTGACCAGAAATAGTAGAAAAACACATTAATCTCACCAGTGCAAAAAGGCTTGAGAGGTTTGAGTTGTTTTGTACTTGTCTGTAATGGTATAGTTTGGATATGCAAGAAAAAAATACAAACACTAAAAGACAATCACCGCAGCTTCAGATCACACTTGCTGTTGGAATGAGAATTAAATAGCATGTAGTAAGTAAAATGGGATAATTTAAATGAAGGTGTTTTTAGACCAGATTTACATGCAGTTAACTGTATGATGTACTGATAAATTAACTGGGAGATTGACTGAGGGTGTAAACCAGCAGAATAATGAGTGACAATTTTACTGGTAGATTGGTAGAGTGATAGACTGCCTGAGAGATAAACTTGAGGATTGACTAGAAAATACTTCACCGAGGCCTACACTACAGCACGGGCCCACTGATAGCTCATTAGGTAAACACACTAAAGTACATTGTTCGTGATGGTGGTTTGGAATCCCTGATCACACATTTTTCTCATGGGTTGTTTGATGACTTTTAATGGCTCTCCTTTCATTTGACAGATCCTACCGTAAACAGACATTACATTTAAAGATCGGGCCGTCAAAAATTCTCAAAGGCTTGAAAGAGGTGTTAAAATTGTGAGATAGATATCTACATACCCTAACAAAATGTTCGCCAGAATGAGAATACTGAAATCACACCTAATCAGATGTAAAAAAGTTAGAAGAAATTTCTCGAGGACTATATCGTAGTTGGGTAAGAATCTAAATGTGTATTTCCAAAGTCCAGTTTTTTCCCCGCTACTAAAAAGGGAACGCGTTCTCCAGCTTACTAAGCGATTGGCAATTATAATTTGTCAATACTTTTGATGATGTCATCAACTTTTTTTTAGGGAGAAAGCCACGTGGCAGAAGAGTCTGCTAGTGTTTGTAACCTTTTCAATCCTGGTCACTTTACAGGTCCTGAGCCACAAGGTGGAAGAGAACAAGAACAGGAGTGATAACCAGAGACAAAACATTCTCGAGAAAATCAGGACGTCAGTCGAGGATCTTGAGGCGGGTTTTGAGAGAAAACTGAAGAGCCAGATACAGGTGAGGTCTCTTTTCAAGTATATAATTATTTGTTCCTCAGTATAGACAAGTGAACATTCACCTAGATATAGCCTATTCAGTATTGTGCAAATATTGATAAACCTACAGCTTTCTAATTTGCTTTCTAAATTTTTAGACTGCAGGAAATTTCCCGACACTCTTGCTCTTGGTGAGGGAAGCGGGGGGTGAGTGAGAAGCAAAATAGCAAAAATAAAGGAACCAGCAGGTGACCTGACGTCTCCTCTGACACTAGTTTTGTCTTTGACATTGTTCCCAGTGCCCGTATCGAAAACCGTTCCAGCCAGTATTTGAGACGTAAAAAATGTTGGATGGTATCTGAATGGCGTATCAACTGCTGTCTCTAGGTGTAGATGATTATTCGTATGCTTTAGCGTAAAAGTGTAGCCAAAGTATATGTAGGTCACAATAGAAAAAGCAAGACAGGGCTAAGTCGTGCAAGTAAACGTTTTCCTTTCGAATCCCCCCCCCCCATACATGCTGGATAAAAAAGCTTATGACGTTTAAATAAATGGATTGAAAGGGGGGGGGGGGTGTTAATCTTGATCCATGGGTAGTTGGGATCATGTGATAAAAGAAGAAAATGTATGAGGGTGGGGGGAGGGGGGGTGGTATGAAGAAATGATATGAGAGGAAAAGAAGGATGAGAAGAAGTTGAAGATGCAGGGGGAGATGGAGGAGGAGGAGGAGGAGGAGGAGGAGAAAATGAAGACAAGAGAAAGAAGAGAAGTAGGAGCAGAAGTAGAAGGAGGAAAAATAGAACGGGGAAAAGATGAAGAAATAGGAGCAGGAGACGGAGGAGGAGAAAAAGATGAAGAGGTAATTAGAATAGAAAAATAGTAAAAGTAGGAGGAGCAGAAGTAGGAACAAAAGTAATTAGAATGAGGAGAAAATTAAAAATAAATGGAGGAGATGACGGAGAAGAAGTAGAAGGAGGAGATGGAGGAGTACGAGATAAAAAAAAAAGACTAAAACGCTCATGGTCCTAGTTTTAATGTCCTCGGAATATTCTTGAACGTGGGTTGTATGACGAGTTTACTAACGACTCTCTTTTCCCCAAGTTTGGTGGCTATCTAAAATTTACGTTGAAATCGGAGGTCCCGCCTCTGTAATGGTCTCACCCGGCGTTGAGAGTGGCGCTAAGCGTACCTACTTACCGCTCTTGGACAGGACATTTCTAAAGTTTGCATAGTGCAAAATGGAATCTTAACGAAACGGAAAATGATGCACACCCTCGAGATGACGGTACAGAAAAAAGGCATCATTTTAAAACAGAGTTAATTAATATTTTGTTGAGGCCAGTATTGTCTCTTTCAGTAAAGAAATCTTTTTACGATTTACTTGTCATGATATGCCAAATAGTAATGATACCCTCTATCCGTTGTGGCAAAATTAATTTTGGTTGTAGGGGAAATGGCATGTGTCCGAAAAGTCTACCCGCCACGTTCATAAACTTTTAGAGTTTTGTCCCTTTACAGGTCCTGAGCCACGCGCTGGAGAAGAAAGAGAACGAGTGTAAAAAGCAAAAACAAAACATTCTTGACAAAATGACAACAATCGTGGAGGATCTTGAGAGCCAGATACAGGTGAGAATATCTCTCCAATTATTTGTTCCTAAGTATAGTCGGGTAAACATTGACCCAGATAGATCTATAGCCTATCTAGCATTGTTCAAATGTTGATGAACTTAAAGGTCTGTTATATTTCGAACACAGGATGTTGGATCTTTAATTCTCTTTGGGGGAGGGGCGGGGGGCGAAGCAAAGAACTGAACCACCTGACCTGACACCACCTCAGACGCCATGCTTGGCCTTGACATTGCTTATTGTGCCCGTATCAAGAACAATAACTTCCGACAGTACCTTTGACATTCATCTTTAACAGTGTGGTCACTTCACACGTTCTGAGCTACACAGTGGAGGCGACAGGTGAGAATCTCTCTCGAAGTAATTGTTTCCAAATAATAACGAGTTAACATTTAATTACCGAGGTGTCTGATACTTTTTAATGGCAATCGTTTTAATTGGAATGAACATTAATTTAGAATGTACTGCCTCTTAATTACCTTATATTCTTGAGAGGAATGATAAACTCTTACGATAATTACCTACACACACCCCACGGACATTTCTGAAATGGCCCCAAAACGAAATAGTATCGTAGCAAACAAAAAATAAAATGATGTGGATCGTCGCGAGAACATACGACAGTTATAATGTATTCGCTGTGACCAGTTTCAGTTCTGTTGTTACCAGATAATAATATGTTGCTTTCGTAACCTGTGACGACCGACAGTGACAGTACAACTAAATCAAAACTGTTTTGACGTCCCTAGCTATACGACTGAGAAGAAGGTCGTGTGACAGAAATTTATATCAATTTTCATAACCTTAAGAATGGCGTTACACTACAGGGCCTGAGCCACACCTTTGAGGAGAAGAAGAAAGAAGATCTTCAACAGAGACAGACTGTGGAAAAAGTCAAAACATCCTTAGAGGACAACAAAAAAGAGTGTCTTCAACAAAAGCAGGACATCCTAGAAAATGTGACAGCAACTGTGGAGGCTCTTGAGAGCAAACTGAGCGAAGTGAGCAGCCAGCTACCGGTGAGAACCTCTCGGAACATTTGACCTCCAATATTGACGAGTAAAATTTTATCTAGGAGTTGCTTCTCTACTTGGAAATAAGCCTTCACAAGTGCATAATAACCCCCCCCCCCCTTTTTGTTGAATAATATCTATGGATAGGCCTACTCTTCAAGCCTCTTCTCATGCTTTTGCCAGCTCTCTCACCCCCCCCCTCTCTCTCTCTCGCTTTCGCTCTCTCTCTCGCTCTCTCTTTTTTTTCTCTTTCTCTCTCTCCCCACCCATCTCTCTCTCTCTCTCTCTCTCTCTCTCTCTCTCTCTCTCTTTCCTTCTCTTTCTCTCTCTCACCACCCATCTCTCTCTCTCTCTATCTCTCTCTCTCTCTCTTTCTTTCTCTTTCTCTCTCTCATCCTCCTTCTCTCTCTTCCAATGTGTCTGTGTATCTATCTCAATCTACTTCACTTCCCTCGTTTCTCTTTCTCCATCTATCTCTCTCTCTGTCCCTATCTATCTATCTATCTATCTATCTATCTATCTATCTATCTATCTGTCTGTCTGTCTGTCTGTCTGTCTGTCTGTCTGTCTGTCTGTCTGTCTGTCTATCTATCTATCTATCTATCTGGCTGGCTGGCTGGCTGGCTGGCTGGCTGTAACCCCATAACTAGCAATCTCTGTTCAGGAGAAAGAGTGGAAGAGACTCTCACAGACAATAACTTGTAAGGACACCTTTCAAATTAATGTTACCAATTTGGATTGATGAAACTCAACTTAGAGTTTCACGGTTTTCAACCCGATTTACCACGTAGGCGAGAATGGTTTTAGGCTCTTTTCTTTGTCCAATGTGAGGCTGACATAGGTTCGTATCCCGACCCCCCCCCCCCCCCCCCCGGCAATCGGTCGGAAGCGTATTGACCATGTGAAATTGAACCTGTGTGATTGATTTATAAACTAGTGTATTGACTTAGTAAACAACAAAACAAAATTGAGAAATGAACTGGACTATAAACTTGGGAATGGATTGAGCAATAAACTTTGAAATCGACTGTCTGATTGATATATAATTCTTTACTCAGGTTTACACTCCCTCTCCATTCCTGACGTCATGCAGTAGTAATCAAACCAACTTCACTTCCCTGGGTGTAGTCATTCCAACTTTTACTCTGTGGATTTCTCTTCAGCCACAGTCGTGCGCTGATATCAAGGGTCCGGGCCCTCGACCTGTAGTCGTTCTCCACGGTCTGAAAGTTGTCTGCGACACCGTTACTGACAACGGTGGCTGGATCTTGATTCAGGTGAGTTCATCATTATCTTACTGATATATAGGTCGATACAATACACTTTATCTTACTGATATATAGGTCGATACAATACCTATGAGTTCATCTTTATCTTACTGTTATATAGGTCGATACAATACATGTGAGTTCATCTTTATCTTACTAATAGATATGTTGATACAATACAGGTGAATTCATCCTTATCTTACCGATGTACGGAGAAAAAGATGCCCCATTTACCCCCCCCCCCCAATGTCGTGCATACATTCTGTATTCTAACAAAGAAATAAATGTAGCGTTCTCATACTATTGCCATGTGGATTTGATCTTTGAGAATGTTTCGGAGTGTCCTATGGTCTGCTGGGGTAATAATATAGTGTAAAGCGTATATAGCCTGCTGCTGAGCGGGGATTGCGCTATACAAATGCTATTTATTATTATTATTATTATTATTATTATTGTCTTTGAGATAACCTCAGAGTAAAAAAAAGAAAAAAGCCAAAACACATTCTGCAGTGTGAGGGGTTACCCAACTCTGCATCGACCGTTGTCGATCTCTTGCCTCATACCCGCAGAACCACCACATGGGGCCCCAGATCTGATTCGGCACATTCAAATAACAAATCTGCAGTGACAGTGCGTGTGGATCCGTCTTGATCACAGAACCAGAGTGGACATTTGAACCCTTAAGAGCTTTTAAAGCTACCCATGGTGTTACTTCTTTATCATGCAAGTCTCTCTCATTCACATCATCTGGAATTTCTGCAGCCTATTTTTCAGAATTCCAGGAATGAATTTTTCCAGTAATTAGAAATGAGTGTCATCGCTTAGCAAACAGGCCGTTGAAAAATCTCAATACGTTTCACTTGTCTTAAGAACCCAAGTTTTCATTGTTTTCCTACCCAGAGCATTATCTTAATTTATTCCAAGATAGACTGGACATGTGATATGGCTTCATTTTCAAATCATACTTTAATTAAGATTCTGTAAGTGCGGGACTTTCATCAGCCTAGTTCACTGCTACACTCTCGAGCAGACTTCTTTGGTGTTGTTGCGGCCGACATGCGAACTCTTTCCCCATTTCCCTCCTTTCGCACCGTTTTGTTAATGCTTACTCTTTTTCATAAACGGCTTATTTGCAGATTACCTCTCAAATTGAACTGTTCGAACCGAGATTTCGATTCCAGAGGGCGCACTAGATGTAGATCTCTACTCAGTGCAATAACAGGCTTGGAGCATCTTTAGGGACTTGATTTCAGCGTATTTTCTAATGCGAAAATACTTTTTCTGGGTTACTCCAAGATATGGCCGATGCAGAGGTTGTAGTCTGACCAATTCAACTTAAAGCTGGTGTACGGATGATCAAACATAATTCCTCTCAGATTTGTGGCAGATCCGCGCAACATTGAAGAAGTTATTGTTTTCTTGAGGTCATCGAGGACAGTAGATGGTTGGAAAGTAAAAGAGATATATACTGACGGTCATTAAAAACGCACCATTTTGGATTGAGCACATTTTGGACTAAAATCTATCCAGTGACATCAATTGAGGTTGACAAAAGTTCACAGGCAACAGAGGTTACTGATCGCACAAAATTTGAAGTTCCCAGTTCAAAACTGTCAATGTGCACGTGCAACATGCAAAAATCCGATATGTCGACCTCAAACCTAAAATTTGTTCAGCGAGACAGATTTTTTGGCTGTTAGGGAGAGATTGTATTCGCCCATAACAAAAACTGACATCCTTTACTCTGTGCGACGGATTTTTTCTGCGTAAATAATGCCGCGACTTTCCATGCAAGAACGTGAAAAGGCAATTGGAATGCCCCAAGCCGGAATGGTAGCACGGCAAGTTGCCAGGCGCATGAACTGTAACCACTCGACTGTAACCCAGTTGTCTCAACAAAATGCAGCTACTGGTTCTACAGCAGATCGACGACGGAGCGGCCAACCACGAGTTACATCACCAGCGCAAAACCGTTACATTTGCCAACGTCACCTTTGTGACCGTTTCCTGCCAGCACGGAAACAGGTCGTCAAGTAGTTGGTCGGCGTGTACCAGTTTCTGAATGGACCGTGCGACGCCGTTTGCGGGAAGCAGGACTTGCAGCCAGACTCTCGTACGTTGGTCCTGTCTTGACACAGAGGCACTGTCAACAACGTTTGCAATAGGCCAGGCAGCATTTAGTTGACGAGAGTCGCATGCTGACGGGAGAAGAAGGCAAGGGCTATGCCAACTGTTGCATGCTGGAGGTCGATAGATGGGGAGGAGGCAGCGTCATGGTATAGGGAGCGTTCAGCCACGATTATCGCACGCCACTGTGCTTCTTCGACCAGCCTGTAAATGTCACCACGTACCAGCAGGTTTTAAAGAACCACGTCGTGCCGTTATTTGGTCAACACCCAGAGCTGCAATTATTCCAACACGACAACGCCCTCCCCCACACCGCTCAAGCCACCACTGCTTTTCTGAAGGCAAACAACATCGATGTCCTGCCTTGGCCATCACTGTCTCCTGACTTGACACCAACTTAGCATGTGTGGGACGAGCTTGGCCACCGTTTGTCCCGTGGAAGACCTCTACACAATCTCCAAGAGCTGAGGCGTTCTCTGACAAATGAGTGGGTACAGATTCCAAAGGTGTTCTTTCAGACTCTTGTCAATTCCACGAGAAGACGCTACCAATCCTGTACATTGTATTCAGGACAATGGAGGACATACACGATACTAAAGCAGGTGTTAAAAACTCAGTTTACCGCTCTGATTTTTGAAAAATGACTTTTGTTACTTCATGCTTTTGTGCTCGCGGTGCCATTTGACCTTTTCATGTCATTTCAGCTGTGAATGTTCACAAAATGGCCATAGAATGCAATGGTATACAATCTGTTTAAAAAAATAAACACATCACCACTACTTGAAACGTTTTGTAAGTGGTGCGTTTTTAATGACCGTCAGTATATTTTATCCCTGAATGGCTTATCTTACCTGCGTCTATGGTGTAGCGGTTAGGCATCTCGCTGTCACATGCAGTAGACTCGAGTTCGATTCATGGATGGGGACATTTTTTATCGAGTGTATCTGTTTTTCTATTGGGATTTTGTATCTCTCTCAGACCGGATTGACCCTGACAGGCTGGGTCAAAAGCCAGCCGCCTAAATGATTTAAATTATGTCGATAGGGGCTTGAAAACATCTACATAAAAATTGTTTATCTTGAAGGATGGATAGCTCAACCAAATAGTCATCGGCAAATGTTTTTAACAGAAAAACCGAAGGGTCCAAACTATTTGCATGTAGCCCGTTAAAGGTGCGTAGGTGATTCCATTTTCCTGGTTTCAAACATGATATTGGGACTAACACGTTCACAGCCTAATATTTTAAAATCTACTCACAATACTATATTCACATTGTATTTTTATGTGCCTGTGTGTTTGGCTTTTTAGTGTTCACGCATCCAGTATAATCTGAGCGACTGGTCGCGGCAAGCCCCACCCTGTTTACAACCTACCCGGCGCCACTGTGTACAACAAGTTAAATTATACCCACGACAATTACTTTGCATTCAGGAACAGTTTTGTTTCCAGAACTAGAGTGAACCACAGATAGTTACAGTTTAAAGTATTTCATGATGACATGTCTCACAAACTGGCGTATTGTTCTGTTATGTCTACAGAGACGTACCTCGGCGGACGTAGACTTTTACCGTGGATGGACCGACTATAAGTATGGATTCGGCGACCTCACAGGCAATTTCTGGTTTGGGCTGGAGAAAATCCACCAGCTGACAAATAAGGTAATTTCTGTTTTCTTTAGAGCAATGTATTATCACAAACATATGCCAGCACTCTGCGCCGTGGCTGTTGTCACTGTCGATGACATTGTTGCTGTAATTTATTTTCCCTCGTGATATTAGTTGGGTTTACTATCAGCTCTATTATTACCACTCTTATTAATGACCATAGTGTTTACAGCAGTAGTTGCAGTATATTTTCAAGGAAATCGATCCACTTGGCTCTGTCATATCGCAGATGGATGTTAAATCTGAACTCTAGCTCCTGAAAAACATTCCCCTTTTCGTAAGTTACATGAAACCCCTACTATGCCTTTGTAAAGGAAGTAGTGGATGTAGAAGGAAGAAGGGAAAGTTATAGGTTGTGTTAATGGAAACTGGAGCTGTCAGAACATCAGTCTTTGTCGTTGTTGATGAGATTTTTCATGTTGTCGCAGTTATCATTAATAACAATTATAATAATAGAATATTAATAATAATAACCATACTGCTATAATAAAAAAACATTATTACTTTCGTTGTTTACCTCTTAATTACTTTTGAGACAGATTTGAGGGGCATGTAGCTCTTGAGCCCTTTACTTTGAGTCTCTATCAGTTCTTGACTGTCGCCTGCGCAGAGTCTATGTCACCCCCCGGGGCGGTGCTACTCACTGAAATGTCTTTAGGCCTTTCCCAAAGGGGGCCATAAACTTGTTCTTATGCACAGTAGAATTGAAAATGGGCTAATTCACCTATGTCATGCTCATAACTGTGCCTGAACTGCAACAGGGAACTGCTGCTTTTTCTTTCCTAATCCCTACTATCGTCATTTTCCTCTACTTCTTTTGTATGTTTGTCACACTCTTTTTTGACCCGCTATCTCCAGGGTGCCTTTATAGTCGAAGCAGACTTTGTGCTGTTGAAGCTAGAGAGGTGAGCAGAGCAAGCCCGATTCCCTGTAAGGACTTCTCTGTTGACATCCACCCCTTGGCGCTCATATGACCTTTTGCAGTTACGAGCGCCGTAAAACCTCTACAAAAAAAAGTCTATGTGCTTTTACCCGTAATCTGCATTTAATACAGGAATTGCTTTCCAACTTGGCATTCTCTTCTTTTTGGGTAGTTGACGCGTGCTCTGGTGTGGTTTGCTCCTTCTTTCATATTATGTATGTTTCGTCATTTTCTCTCCTCCTTCTTTTTATGTTTTTGTTTGTTACTCTCTTGTAACACTTCTAATCGTTGGCCCTTATATGACCTTATTGTGTTGCAAGTGCCGCAAGACACTTAATAAAACAAACGTTCTCTTCTGCATCTTTTACGTGTTTGGTCAATTTTGTTTTTACTCTACTTGGATAGTTCTGAAGTCGTGCACGTGGTACCCCAGTAGGACACATGGCTGAGAGGAAATGTTTGGGAGGGCCGAAAACATGAGGACCAGACTTGGATTCGAACCTGTAGCGTCCGCGTCGAGGACAATCTATTTCCGTTTTAGACAGCTGGGCTTTGCTTTTGTTGAAATATTGAGAGTCTACAGGTCAGTTGTTTTAATTTTCCTCTTCTTCTCATCAGCAGGAGAGATACGAACTGAGGTTTGACATGACATACAAAGGAAAAGACTACTTCGCCAGCTACGACAACTTTTGGCTGCTCGGAGAACCTGAAAACTACAAAATTCAGATGTCGGGATTTTCGGGTAATGCTAGTGACAGCATGGCTTATCACAATGGCAAGATGTTCTCAACCAAGGACCGTGACAACGACGATTTCAGTTCAGGCAGCTGCGCCAGCAGCAGACACGGAGCTTGGTGGTACTCGGTATGCCACCGGGTGAACCTGAACGGAGCATGGGGCAGTACAAAATACGACAGGGGCTTGAACTGGGGTAGTGTTACGGGATGGGAAGATTCTGTCACCTTCAGCGAGATGAAGATTCGTCCACTTGCTGAGTGACAGCTGCATGACACTCAATACGCGACGGCTTGGTTGTAATTCTATTGAGATATTATGTACATAACATTATGTTTGTGTTTGTGTGGAGGAAAGAGAAACTCATTGTTAGAACATCTTATAACATTGCCTCCGTTTATGGCACAAATTTACAAATAAAGATCAAGATACGCATAGTCGGTAGTCTAGTGGTTAGGTTACTGGACTTGTAATCGTAAGGCTATTCATAGGTTCAGCTTTCACCTTAAAAATATTGGAGACATGTGAGTGAGGATGAGTTAACCCATACTAGAAAAGTGAATGCTCCCATGATTCTTTTAATTATAATTGATAATTATAGTAATATGACTTTTTATAGGGCTTAACCCTAAGGAGTAGAACCCCAAAAACACTATACAGTGTAAAATTATCGATATATCGTTTAAAACAACTATTAAATAAAAGAAAGAAAATGTACGTTGTGAGACCATTGTAAAAAAACATACATACAAACACACACAATTCACAGACCCATATGCAATCTAATATAT